ATCTTAGATCGGAGATATTAGCCTTCAAAGATAAAACAATCACAACTTTCGTCTTTGAAAGATACAAATGTGGAGGGTTTTTGTCGGACTAAATTAAAGCATTAAAACCATTATGTCTTCAAAATTATGAGCAGAAGGAAAAAGTAATTTCGTGATGATTGATAAAGAAGTTCGATAAGTTATACTGATGAAGATGTTTCTTCTTTGTTGCTTTTTAATATTTTATTTTGAATTTCTTACTAGTTATGCTAGGGTCTCTGATTGAGGTTGTGGAATAATTATTTCACATTTAAAGGTTATAGTTGTCTGTTAGTCCACTGAATTAGTAATGATGATGAATTTAAAAGTTGTGGCTTCAGGTTTAGTTTCAAGTAAATCAAACTTTTTCCTTTTAATAAAATGGTAAATACAACTTATGAAGTATAACAGACGTGATGCATTAAAATGGACACATAATATTGTGTAGACATGGAACCTGATGTGATCATGAAGTTTAATTTTCTTATTTTAGGGAAGCTGATTGGAATAAAGCATTTAATTTTTCTTCTGATTTGGACTTTGTGTCTACTTGCATTCGGAAGACTAAAGGTATGAACTCCAAAAACTAAAAAGAAATGATGCGAGTTGTTCATTTCAGTTTTTAAAGAAGTGAACAAAATAGATGACTCAATTTTTCTCTTTTCTCATTCATTATTCCTTTTTTTTTTGTTCCCCAGCGCCCAGCTAAACATGTTTACCGTATTTTCTTAGAAACTCTGAATGTAATCATTCCAGCGTTCTGAACTTCTTTTCTTTCCTACTGTTTTAATTCTAATTTTATTCTTACGATCTGGAACCTGATGGAAACACAGGAGATATTTTGCAACGGTTGTGTACAGCAGCAGAAATAAAATTTTACTTAAATAGCTTATTGGAGAGGTCTAGCACTAGGAGTGCCAACTATTTAAAGCCTAACAGGAACTGCAATTTAAACTCATGGGTATCAGGTTGTGAGCCAGGATGGGCATGTAGTGTTCCCACAAGCCAGCAGGTTGACCTTATAAATTCACAGGAGATTCCTGCCAGAACTCTAAACTGCGAAGCATGTTGTGATGGGTTCTTCTGTCCCCATGGTATCACATGCATGATACGTAAGTATAACTTCAATATGTTTTTCCTCATTACTGAACTGCAAATACCTGCTGTATGACCATATACCAACTTTTAATTCAACACATTAGCATCTTCCTGCTTTTCATAAGTCTATTATAAAGGAATAGGAATACACAACCAAAAAAAAATGAAATTATTCAGTGAGAATTGACAAAGTTCAAGGGTGGTTGTTAAGTCAAAGTAATGGGAACTACTTATCTATCCAAATGTCTACAACAAAGCCAATTCATTTTAGCTAGACACCCTGACAAAAAGCTACTAGATTTATTTTCTATAGTAAAGATCCGTATCTAGTTAAGAAATTGTTGGGAATTCAAGTGTGAGTCAGTCCCATGTTCAATAAAAATAAAAAACTTGAGAACCATATGTTGGAAGTTCCACATCGACTAGAGATAAGGCCGATTTATAATATATAAGTGAAGTGCAAACCTCACCCTACAAGCCGGTTTGTGGGGTTGAGTTAGGTTTCAAGCCCACTTTCTTAATATTGGTATTAGAGTCATGTTTAGAGCCTATCCTATCGGCATGTATGTGGTCATATTGTTCCACACGCTATTGGACTACCCATTAATGTCTACTAATCCATAACCTCATTGTTTTAAAGTTTTGGGTTGTAGGTGGTGCCAATCTCTTATTTAAGTTAAAATTATGTCTCATTGGTATCTCTCAAGTGAATCCCTCTTGAAAGAACCATCAGGAATTTTGATTACTGAGTAATTAAATTTGGTTATTATGCTAGTCAATAAAATAAAACAAATTTCAATGCCTTTTCAGCAATGATATCTGTAGCAAGAGTAAAGCAAGTATAATAACTATTCTTATACTAGTTTCTATGAAAATGATGTCTCTAATTCTTTCATCTTTTTGTGGTATTTGAAATATTTTTCTTGAAGCTTGCCCTCTTGGATCTTATTGCCCTAGTGCTGTACTCAATAGCACAACTGGTGTTTGTGAACCGTGAGTTCTAATTCTTGCTCTATGATTTGTTGCTCTGTTTATGTTAGGTTATTACTTGCATGCTTTTGTGTAGAATATTAATTGATTTGATATTTTTGCAGATATCTTTACCAACTGCCTCCAATGCAGCCAAATCATACCTGTGGAGGAGCAAATATTTGGGCAGATATTAGTAGCAGTAGTGAGATATTTTGTTCGGAAGGATCATATTGCTCCACCATTACAAAAAAAATTCCTTGTAGTAGTGGGTATTGTTTTATTCCAACCTGTGGTTACTCAATAAACTTCAAAAGTTGGATCCTTGATGAAGTAATCCAAAGTATTGAAGATATTGGATGACATGACCTTTCATAGTTGCACTTTAGTTTACAAGTATAATGCCTATACTATTATGGTAACTTTTTATTTATTATCCTGATTCCTTGAAATTTCTCTCTTGTAATTCCAGGCATTACTGTAGGATGGGTTCCACATCTGAGCAAAGTAAGATGTCATGGATTGTGTTGTGAATTATGGCAATAACATATCTGTGTTTCAGCCTCAGATTCTCTCGTGAGCTTCTGACCAAATGTTTCCAGAGTATATATGACCATTTCCTGATTTTCTTGTAGGCTGCTTCAAGTTGAGTTCATGTGATTCAAACACCGTGACCCAAAATATTCAAGCGTATGGAATCATGCTCATTGTAAGTTGTTGCCTCTTAATTTGATGGATTATTAAATAGGTATATATGTGCATTTATTCAGATCCTAGATTTCTATTTTTATTTCGGTGTGTATTTTTATAAATTGGGGTTTATTAGGGCTTTCAGTAATTAGGGTTAAACATGTCAGACTTTGGCCAGAATACTTTGAGAGTAAGTTAGGCCTAGTCTGTTTATAATATGGAGTCGAGCCTACACAATATGTCTCCCCAGAGCCATCTTTTTGGAGTTAGTCAGGTCCAGTCTGTTTCAAATATATAGAATTGCATAATTATAAATCTGGGTCTGCATACATAAGGATGAGTCTGTACTGAGTTTTAGAGACGTAAGCTAGGAAATTAAGAATGAAAATCTTCCTACACTTCTATCTGCTTCTCCATCCGTAACTATAACCTGTTTCATATTTCTCTTCTCCCTTTAACTCTCCCTTTTAGATTCTAATTTCCATTTTTTTGTCCCTAATATAAACAGGAGTAGACACGTAAAACTAAAGTGATATTGACACTGAATTAGAGCAATCTCATAAGTATAAATCTCTGTTACAAGATTAATAGTAGAAAAGAAACCAATAACACAAACTTCTTGGGACCTCTCTCTGCCCCCCACCTTCCCACTATATAGACTGTTTCCATCTCTCTCCACTCATGACTTGCCACCTCTCCCAATCCCTCCAATTCGCATCCTGCCCTTTGCTCTTCTCTTCTTTATTATTAGCTTCTTACTGGGTGGCCTATCAGTCCCATACCCATTGGATCATTTAGACCTTTGCCTGGTATTTTCCATTGGTTATGGAGGAATCAGTTACACATACTGATAGGAAACCACAGGAAAAGTAATAAAATAAGAGGAAAAGAGAAATAAAGAAAGGATCATTGATCCTGTTTCATTGAAATCAAGGCAAAAACAGAAGGAATAACCCTACTGTCCAGAGCTAAGCTCCTTAAGAGATCCAAACGGTACTCTCCACTCTTAATTTTGTTAAAAACAGAATGTCCACCCCACACACTCCTCTGACACTATAAAGGTAACAACAAAAAGGAAAATCTTCTAGGATCCTCCAATTTCACTCTCTCTAACTAATTCTGCTACGAACTGTGTCCACTTCAGTCCCTTTTATTTTTTCTCCTAATATAAACTTGTCCCCATTTCCTTTGCTCTTTTGTTTCTTTGTCCAATATATTTTCTGGCCCAACAGATAGTTGGGCTGTATCACATACTAACAAATTTTAACTAATTTGGTCATATGGATACTTGTCCAGAAAAAGAATTTTTATTTTTATGCTTCCTGCTTTCTGTTCCTTTTCCGTCATAAGCACGGATGATCTTGGAATTATGGCTAATGCTTAAGTCCTTGTCATGTACACAGATGTAAAATATCCAAGCTCACCCATGCACACTGTGTTGATAGAAAGTTAATTAACAAAAGTCTTTAACTGTTTATGCAGGTTGCTTTGAGTACTTTGTTACTCATTATCTATAGCTGTTCTGACCAAGTTCTGACTACTAGAGAAAGGAGAATGGCAAAGTCCAGAGAAGCAGCAGCCAGAAGTGTAAGAAAGACTGCAAATGCTCGCCAAAGATGGAAAGATGCAAAAGATGCTGCTAAAAAGAGTGCAAGTGGACTGCAAGCTCAACTATCACGATCATTTACTTGGAAAAAGGACATAGATCCGGAAGAAATTAGAATTTTGAATCAACCAACTACTGAAACAAAGATAGAATTGTTTTCACATTCACATCCTATTACCTCACCTATGATTGGTAGCTCATATGCTGGGCCAAAGAGAAAGGGAAAAGAACCTAGTGATTTGATGCAGACCATGAATCAAGTGGAAAAGGATGTAAATGTGAGCAACATTCTTGCAGAAACAGAAATTCGAGCAAAAAATGTTACAGCAAAAGTGTCTAAGGAAAAACATCCGAATACACATAGCCAAATTTTTAAGTATGCATACGCTCAACTTGAGAAAGAAAAGGCTCAACAAGAAGAAAACAAGAACCTTACCTTCTCAGGAGTAATTAGTATGGCTACCAAAAGTGAACAAAGGAAAAGGCCTTTGATTGAAATATCTTTCAAAGATCTGACTCTTACTTTGAAAGCACACAATAAACTTATATTGAGATGTGTCACGGGGAAGATTAAACCTGGACGCATCACTGCTGTCATGGGTCCATCAGGTGCTGGCAAGACAACTTTTCTTTCTGCAATAGCTGGGAAGGCATTTGGATGCAAGGTGACTGGTTCGATTTTTGTAAATGAAAATAATGAATCAATCCACTCATTTAAGAAAATTATTGGTTTTGTGCCACAAGATGATATAGTTCATGGAAACCTGACTGTGGAAGAAAACTTCCGGTTCAGTGCACTGTGCAGGTAAACCACATGATTAGAAATTCCTGCTATGATATAGTTCATTTATTTAATTCATGTTATGTGCTTAAACTCGTGTCATCTGATTTATATTTGATCGACTCTCCTTGTTTCCTATTTAATCCTGGATCGAATTTCAGCTCCATTGATACTCTTTCATTGTCCTTTTCTCTGACTGCTGGACTTATCCTAGTTTAAACACAAGAGACTGACATAGTTTATATGCAACTTTGTTATAATTGTATCTTAAATTCTTGGTAATACATTGCATTAGGTGGGAAAATGGAGAAATTGAAGCCGTTCATTTCTTTGAATAGAGGAAAAATATGGGTTTCTTGGTTACTATTTGCCGCATGCTTTAAGCATTGGTGGCACAATGATTATAATTCAATTTGAGCCTATATTGCATAAATGGAATACTTAAGTTCTGTCATTAAATAGTATTTTTTGTTTTTACTTTCTAATTACAAAACTGCTACCTTGTTTACAAGGCGTTTTTTTTCTTCAATGATTTGTATAGGAAACATTGAACACAGGTGTTTTCAATGTTTATTGTACAAATATTTGACAACAGCAAACAGACTGGAAAAAAGAGTCAGTTCTGTATGAAAAACCGAAAACTGAAAATAAAAGATCTAGAGATGACATTTTTAAGTAGTGTGCAAAGAAGGAACATTTTTAAACTTATTGCTTATTGCAATTGTCTCTATATCAGTTTCCTTTGTCTAGATGCATATCATGCCCCCTACATACCAAACAAAGTATCCTAGTAGTTCGAATGCGCTCTGTTAAAGCATGGAATACTGCGTTCAAACCATAACTTGAACACTTTTCCCTCTACAGCCAATCTAAAACTCTCCAATATACCGAGCTTTAGTTCCATGCTTTTTCTTCTATTACTTGTGTACATATTATTGTTTTCTGTAGCTTTTCTAAGTTTGAATATTTGGTATTAAAATGAAAATTTATTACTTTGAAAGGCTACCTGCTGACTTGCCAAAGCCAGAAAAAGTTCTGATTGTTGAAAGAGTTATTGAATTCTTGGGGCTTCAATCAGTGCGGAATTCTTTGGTTGGAACTGTAGAAAAGCGAGGAATCTCTGGAGGCCAAAGGAAACGTGTAAATGTTGGATTGGAAATGGTCATAGAACCTTCACTCATGATCCTGGATGAACCCACTTCTGGGTTGGACAGTGCATCATCTCAACTCCTTCTTAGAGCACTAAGACGGGAAGCTCTTGAAGGAGTGAACATTTGCATGGTGGTTCACCAACCCAGGTGACTTTTAATTCCATGTCTTCTGCATCATGGGGATTTATCTTTCAGTTGATTTTATATTTTTCTAATGTAAAATTAGGGAATATTTGCTCAGAAATTAGTAGGTTCCAACATATAGAATGCTAAGTTTTTTATTCATTGTCACATTTCTGGAGTAAATAAATTTCATTCAACTGATAGAATCTTGCTGGTTCAGAAAGTTTAGAGCCAGGGTTAGGGTTTATTGTTCTGGTTTGGTGGGGGCGTAGCGTAAAGTATGCCAGTACAGTGGGGGAAATAGGATGTTGGTCAAAGAACGACATCGCTGGAGAGGATTCTTCTAAGAAACACTATGGAAATTGATGGGGGAGAACCAGAACCTTGAATGTTTGGTTTTTCTTTGTGTTTGCTTTTTTACTTTCAAAGTTTTCAATACCTGTATACATTTACTAATCCCTAGTGAAATCATATTGATTTTGGAACAAAAACATTTTTTTTTTTCTTTTGGTGTATAGAAGAGGAGATACGTACTTCTGTTTCTGTGCTTTTTTATGTGATTGTGATCCAGTTTCCTTGCATACCTCTGTTTACCTGCATGGACACTGAATAAAGAAGATTGATCTCATGTTTCCTTGCTTTAATTTGTAATTGTGAACAATCTAACTTCTTTCCCTTTGATTATTTAATGACTTAACCTTTTTTCTGTAGCTACGCTTTGTTTAATATGTTCGATGACTTGATACTCCTGGCAAAAGGTGGCCTTACTGTATATCATGGATCAGTCAAGAAAGTTGAAGAATACTTTGCAGACCTCGGGATAAATATACCAAAACGAATTAATCCTCCTGATTACTTCATTGACATTTTGGAAGGCATAGCAGTACCTAGTGGAAGTTCAGAAGTCAGTTATAAGGAGCTGCCACTTAGATGGATGCTTCATAATGGATACCCCATACCTCCTGATATGCAGCAGAATGCAGCACAACTTGGTATGTTTGAAACTGCAAACCCAGCTAGAGAAAAAGATCCCGATGGCTCTAGCCATGAAGAAAGAAGCTTTGCTGGAGAATTATGGCATGATGTGAGACATGCGATGGAACTAAAGGGGGAGAAAATAAGATTCAATTTTTTTAAATCGAAGGATTTATCTGAACGTAAAACTCCTGGTATATTCAAGCAATACAAATACTTCCTTATACGGTAAACCATCCAATGACTTCAATTATTTGTTAACGTCAACATTTAACTCTTCTGGTCACGCATTAAGATCTACCATAGTTTGGGTTATTTTTTTCCCTGGATCATTACAATTTTCTTGCTCAAAATAATGTCTTTAAAAGAAAGGTTAAATATGTTTTTTGTTCTTCAACTTTAAGTTAAAATTGGAATTAGTCCATCTTCGAAACTTTGGAACAATATAGTTAACCATCTTTAGAACGATGTGAAATTAGTCATTTTAATCAAATTTTGTTAAGTTTATTTGATGTTTCAAACATATTTCTTAGTTATCATTGAAGCAAAAATGTATCAAATGGTGTAAACAACTCAAATGTTATCATGAAACACATTTGAAACATCAAATAAACCTAACAAAATTTAGTTAAAATGACTAAATCCACACATCTCCAAAATTGGGAGACTAAATTAGGCAAAAGTTTTGAAAAGGGACCATTTCCAATTTTCACTGAAAATTAAGGGACAAAAAATACTTAAAATAGTTAACCATCTTTAGAACGACGTGAATTTAGTCATTTTAACCAAATTTTGTTAAGTTTATTTGATGTTTCAAACATATTTCTTAGTTATCATTGAAGCAAAAATGTATCAAATGGTGTAAACAACTCAAATGTTATCATGAAACACATTTGAAACGTCAAATAAACCTAACAAAATTTAGTTAAAATGACTAAATCCACACATCTCCAAAATTGGGAGACTAAATTAGGCAAAAGTTTTGAAAAGGGACCATTTCCAATTTTCACTGAAAATTAAGGGACAAAAAATACTTAAAATAGTTAACCATCTTTAGAACGACGTGAATTTAGTCATTTTAACCAAATTTTGTTAAGTTTATTTGATGTTTCAGACATATTTCTTAGTTATCATTGAAGCAAAAATGTATCAAATGGTGTAAACAACTCAAATATTATCATGAAACACATTTGCAACGTCAAATAAACCTAACAAAATTTAGTTAAAATGACTAAATTCACACGTCTCCAAAATTGGGAGACTAAATTAGGCCAAAGTTTTGAAAATGGACTAATTCCAATTTTCACTGAAAATTAAGGGACAAAAAATACTTAAAAGAATGTAGCATGTATAATGCCAGTAGATTTTTTTGATGCGGCAGATTGAACAATTGTATTTGAATTTTGGTGGTCCAAATTTCTGTGTCGTTCAAGGGAGACCTGAAGAACTGGAAAGTACAAGTGTCATTTCCTTGCTCCACTACCGTCTTAGTGTTTTGGGAAACAAAATGAAATTAAATGCCACCATGTCTTTTCTCTATTGAAGTTCACCAAATACCATTTTGTATTGATTAGAGAGAGAGGAAGAGTAGTAAATAATCTTTTAATGATGAACATGTCTGCTCATTCTGGTGTCTGAATTTTCTTTTGTTAATTGGCGGTACTGTTTCAGGGTTGGTAAACAGAGATTACGAGAATCTAAGATCCAAGCTATAGATTATTTAATATTATTACTTGCTGGAGCCTGCTTAGGATCACTTACCAAAGCTAGCGATCAGACCTTTGGTGCAGCTGGATACACCTATACAGTGATTGCTGTATGTAAGTTGATTGATTCTAGTACATAGTCTTGATGCTTTATATCATTTTTCCAACATAATTGAATTCTAAATCAAGCTATGTAATGCTCTTCATGTTATATAATTTTTCTTTGCTATGTACTTAATTTATGATGGAAATACAGTCTGTGATGATAAACATGCCTTTTACTTTTATAATAATTATTGGACATCACACATCGATTACAAATAAGTTCATACATTTGATAAGTTAATGTCACTATTTCCTCCCCAAATAATAGTTAATGTCACTATTTTCACCATAAATAATTAATAAAATTCATCATCAAACTACAAAGATTTTAAACTGCTCATGATTGTTTAACCTATATTTGCATTTCTTCCAACAAACACGTAAGCTTTTACCAATTTTTTTATTTGAAACCCGGGGTAAGTAATGGAAGATTTTCAATAGGATTTTCGTTTTGGACTTAAAAGAAATTTATTGCTATTGCTAATAGACTTTTAGAATCCATGCGTATTGTGCTTTATTCTAATTTATTATTATTGTTAATTTCAGCTCTTTTATGCAAAATATCTGCCCTGAGATCCTTTTCTCTAGACAAATTACACTACTGGAGGGAGAGTGATTCTGGCATGAGCAGCTTGGCTTATTTCCTCTCCAAAGACACAATCGATCATTTCAATTCAGTGATCAAACCTGTGGTTTACCTGTCAATGTTCTACTTTTTTACCTATCCAAGATCAACTTTTGCAGATAATTACATTGTGCTGCTTTGTCTTGTATATTGTGTGACTGGCATAGCATATGCATTTGCCATACTCTTTGAACCCGGTGCAGCCCAGCTAGTGAGTATTAGAAGCAAATAATAAAACTTTTACTAACTCCCAATTCAAATTTTACTCATCATATTTTCATTTCCCCTGACATGATACTGTTTCTTGCAGTGGTCGGTACTTCTTCCAGTTGTTTTTACTCTCATTGCGACACAGCCAAAAGATAGTAAATTTTTGAAGGATATAGCTTATTTTTGCTACCCTAGGTGGGCTTTAGAAGCGTTCATAATTGCAAATGCTGAAAGGTAATTTACTGCTAATTATAATTGGTATTAAACTCCACTAGTTTGAGTTTTGTTCCCTTGAAGTGAATTTCTAAATGCCTGAATCTATAGAGAAGTAAGTAGGTTTCTACATCTCCATGGGTGACGGTACCCTCTGCAAAATAAACAAGGGTTGCTGTGCTGGACATCCCCAGTAACAGATGAGCTGCTTGCTGGGCCCAAATCCAGTACCCTGACAACTAAGAGACGGAAGTGGTAAACTTGTACCATTTGGGACATTAATGGGAATGGCTATGGAGATGGAGGATGCAATTATTAGAAGAAGGATAAATATATTATGTCAGCAAACAAAATAACAGGTTGGAGAGTAATGCACATTATTCTTTCTTTCAGTTTTTAAGTTGTGGTTCCCACAAAGAGATTACAAAAGGACTTGAACGGGTATCATCTTGCGTGGCTCTCTTGTGGAAGAAAGAGTACAGTTGAAAAGGAAGTATGATCTGATCATTGTCATAAACCTAGTTCATTGAAGTATGCTTGGATGAAGTGTTTTTGAGTGGATTTAGAGGGGGTGCTCCTAACCAATTCATTAGAAGAATAAATTACCTAAACAAGCATGTTGAAAGAGAAAAAGAAAATTATAGGAGAGCCCACGGTGGGTGTAAGGTTTTAGAACAATATGAGGAGGAAAAACTACTTTGGAAATTGCATGTGAGCCTAAAATTTGATGTCCTAATTCCTTGAAAGAAAAGGAGTTAGTACTTTGTTGTCATTAGAAATGGAAACATTGTTTGACTATATCAGCAAAATTCTTTAACCAATAGGCAGGGAGAAAAACAAAATTCATTATTTGCATGAAATAATGACGGATGACAAAAAAATTATCAAATGATTGTAACGTGATGCCTTGGGAATGTTTAATCAACAGCATAGTATAATTATGGTTAAGAAGCCAAGTGGTAGAATTTGTAGAAAAAGTTACTAGAAGATAGAAGGGTCCAATTTTGTAAGAGATGGGATACTAAAGACATTGAGTGTGGGAATCCAGAGGGGTTCCAATAACAGGTGGCACAATAGGTTTAAATCTTAGCTGGTATGGACTCATCTTAGCTGGGATGGTCTCTTATGACTAATACCATATTAAGGTAGTGAGTTTCAGCCTAACTCAATCCTATAAAATTAGTTTAATAAGATAAGGTGTCTCCATTTATATAGTGTAATTTAATTTAATTTATAGTCAATGTAGGATTTCCAACATAACCTAAACACAGGTATCAAAAGGTTTATAACAATCCATATACATTTGTTGAACTAACATAGATTCTCATGGTAAGCAGAAGTGGTTTAGCACATATCCCAGGCGAATCATAAATTATGACTAAATTAAAGTGCATTTGCATCAAGTGAATGTTAGAGAATGAGAAGCTCACATAATCCACAAGCTTTATGATATACTCTTTAATATATTTTTGCTGTGTACTTGATATCAGCACTTTCTAGTAGGAATTTGCTTCCATATTAATTTTTATTTTGAAACTGGCTACTATTTGTGATAATCACTTCTATACTGCAGGTATCACGGGGTGTGGCTCTTAACTCGTTGTGGTTCACTACTGAAAAGTGGGTATAATCTTCATGATTGGGGTTTGTGCATATCTATCCTCATTCTCATGGGTGTAATTTCTCGGACAGTAGCATTTTTCTGTATGCTCACCTTTCTAAAGAAATAAGGCCAATCTGGGAGCTGTCACAGTCACAAACTAGAACTTGGGGTGTGCAAATATGAAGGAAAACATATACTTCTGGATCGAGTACTTTAGTATCCTCATAGTTCAAGAATGTGTGATTAATGCGTTGGGGCTGATGTTGGTTATTTACTCATCATGCAAAANTTTTTTTTTCTTTTGGTGTATAGAAGAGGAGATACGTACTTCTGTTTCTGTGCTTTTTTATGTGATTGTGATCCAGTTTCCTTGCATACCTCTGTTTACCTGCATGGACACTGAATAAAGAAGATTGATCTCATGTTTCCTTGCTTTAATTTGTAATTGTGAACAATCTAACTTCTTTCCCTTTGATTATTTAATGACTTAACCTTTTTTCTGTAGCTACGCTTTGTTTAATATGTTCGATGACTTGATACTCCTGGCAAAAGGTGGCCTTACTGTATATCATGGATCAGTCAAGAAAGTTGAAGAATACTTTGCAGACCTCGGGATAAATATACCAAAACGAATTAATCCTCCTGATTACTTCATTGACATTTTGGAAGGCATAGCAGTACCTAGTGGAAGTTCAGAAGTCAGTTATAAGGAGCTGCCACTTAGATGGATGCTTCATAATGGATACCCCATACCTCCTGATATGCAGCAGAATGCAGCACAACTTGGTATGTTTGAAACTGCAAACCCAGCTAGAGAAAAAGATCCCGATGGCTCTAGCCATGAAGAAAGAAGCTTTGCTGGAGAATTATGGCATGATGTGAGACATGCGATGGAACTAAAGGGGGAGAAAATAAGATTCAATTTTTTTAAATCGAAGGATTTATCTGAACGTAAAACTCCTGGTATATTCAAGCAATACAAATACTTCCTTATACGGTAAACCATCCAATGACTTCAATTATTTGTTAACGTCAACATTTAACTCTTCTGGTCACGCATTAAGATCTACCATAGTTTGGGTTATTTTTTTCCCTGGATCATTACAATTTTCTTGCTCAAAATAATGTCTTTAAAAGAAAGGTTAAATATGTTTTTTGTTCTTCAACTTTAAGTGAAAATTGGAATTAGTCCATCTTCGAAACTTTGGAACAATATAGTTAACCATCTTTAGAACGAAGTGAAATTAGTCATTTTAATCAAATTTTGTTAAGTTTATTTGATGTTTCAAACATATTTCTTAGTTATCATTGAAGCAAAAATGTATCAAATGGTGTAAACAACTCAAATGTTATCATGAAACACATTTGAAACATCAAATAAACCTAACAAAATTTAGTTAAAATGACTAAATCCACACATCTCCAAAATTGGGAGACTAAATTAGGCAAAAGTTTTGAAAAGGGACCATTTCCAATTTTCACTGAAAATTAAGGGACAAAAAATACTTAAAATAGTTAACCATCTTTAGAACGACGTGAATTTAGTCATTTTAACCAAATTTTGTTAAGTTTATTTGATGTTTCAGACATATTTCTTAGTTATCATTGAAGCAAAAATGTATCAAATGGTGTAAACAACTCAAATATTATCATGAAACACACTTGCAACGTCAAATAAACCTAACAAAATTTAGTTAAAATGACTAAATTCACACGTCTCCAAAATTGGGAGACTAAATTAGGCCAAAGTTTTGAAAATGGACTAATTCCAATTTTCACTGAAAATTAAGGGACAAAAAATACTTAAAAGAATGTAGCATGTATAATGCCAGTAGATTTTTTTGATGCGGCAGATTGAACAATTGTATTTGAATTTTGGTGGTCCAAATTTCTGTGTCGTTCAAGGGAGACCTGAAGAACTGGAAAGTACAAGTGTCATTTCCTTGCTCCACTACCGTCTTAGTGTTTTGGGAAACAAAATGAAATTAAATGCCACCATGTCTTTTCTCTATTGAAGTTCACCAAGTACCATTTTGTATTGATTAGAGAGAGAGGAAGAGTAGTAAATAATCTTTTAATGATGAACATGTCTGCTCATTCTGGTGTCTGAATTTTCTTTTGTTAATTGGCGGTACTGTTTCAGGGTTGGTAAACAGAGATTACGAGAATCTAAGATCCAAGCTATAGATTATTTAATATTATTACTTGCTGGAGCCTGCTTAGGATCACTTACCAAAGCTAGCGATCAGACCTTTGGTGCAGCTGGATACACCTATACAGTGATTGCTGTATGTAAGTTGATTGATTCTAGTACATAGTCTTGATGCTTTATATCATTTTTCCAACATAATTGAATTCTAAATCAAGCTATGTAATGCTCTTCATGTTATATAATTTTTCTTTGCTATGTACTTAATTTATGATGGAAATACAGTCTGTGATGATAAACATGCCTTTTACTTTTATAATAATTATTGGACATCACACATCGATTACAAATAAGTTCATACATTTGATAAGTTAATGTCACTATTTCCTCCCCAAATAATAGTTAATGTCACTATTTTCACCACAAATAATTAATAAAATTCATCATCAAACTACAAAGATTTTAAACTGCTCATGATTGTTTAACCTATATTTGCATTTCTTCCAACAAACACGTAAGCTTTTACCAATTTTTTTATTTGAAACCCGGGGTAAGTAATGGAAGATTTTCAATAGGATTTTCGTTTTGGACTTAAAAGAAATTTATTGCTATTGCTAATAGACTTTTAGAATCCATGCGTATTGTGCTTTATTCTAATTTATTATTATTGTTAATTTCAGCTCTTTTATGCAAAATATCTGCCCTGAGATCCTTTTCTCTAGACAAATTACACTACTGGAGGGAGAGTGATTCTGGCATGAGCAGCTTGGCGTATTTCCTCTCCAAAGACACAATCGATCATTTCAATTCAGTGATCAAACCTGTGGTTTACCTGTCAATGTTCTACTTTTTTACCTATCCAAGATCAACTTTTGCAGATAATTACATTGTGCTGCTTTGTCTTGTATATTGTGTGACTGGCATAGCATATGCATTTGCCATACTCTTTGAACCCGGTGCAGCCCAGCTAGTGAGTATTAGAAGCAAATAATAAAACTTTTACTAACTCCCAATTCAAATTTTACTCATCATATTTTCATTTCCCCTGACATGATACTGTTTCTTGCAGTGGTCGGTACTTCTTCCAGTTGTTTTTACTCTCATTGCGACACAGCCAAAAGATAGTAAATTTTTGAAGGATATAGCTTATTTTTGCTACCCTAGGTGGGCTTTAGAAGCGTTCATAATTGCAAATGCTGAAAGGTAATTTACTGCTAATTATAATTGGTATTAAACTCCACTAGTTTGAGTTTTGTTCCCTTGAAGTGAATTTCTAAATGCCTGAATCTATAGAGAAGTAAGTAGGTTTCTACATCTCCATGGGTGACGGTACCCTCTGCAAAATAAACAAGGGTTGCTGTGCTGGACATCCCCAGTAACAGATGAGCTGCTTGCTGGGCCCAAATCCAGTACCCTGACAACTAAGAGACGGAAGTGGTAAACTTGTACCATTTGGGACATTAATGGGAATGGCTATGGAGATGGAGGATGCAATTATTAGAAGAAGGATAAATATATTATGTCAGCAAACAAAATAACAGGTTGGAGAGTAATGCACATTATTCTTTCTTTCAGTTTTTAAGTTGTGGTTCCCACAAAGAGATTACAAAAGGACTTGAACGGGTATCATCTTGCGTGGCTCTCTTGTGGAAGAAAGAGTACAGTTGAAAAGGAAGTATGATCTGATCATTGTCATAAACCTAGTTCATTGAAGTATGCTTGGATGAAGTGTTTTTGAGTGGATTTAGAGGGGGTGCTCCTAACCAATTCATTAGAAGAATAAATTACCTAAACAAGCATGTTGAAAGAGAAAAAGAAAATTATAGGAGAGCCCACGGTGGGTGTAAGGTTTTAGAACAATATGAGGAGGAAAAACTACTTTGGAAATTGCATGTGAGCCTAAAATTTGATGTCCTAATTCCTTGAAAGAAAAGGAGTTAGTACTTTGTTGTCATTAGAAATGGAAACATTGTTTGACTATATCATCAAAATTCTTTAACCAATAGGCAGGGAGAAAAACAAAATTCATTATTTGCATGAAATAATGACGGATGACAAAAAAATTATCAAATGATTGTAACGTGATGCCTTGGGAATGTTTAATCAACAGCATAGTATAATTATGGTTAAGAAGCCAAGTGGTAGAATTTGTAGAAAAAGTTACTAGAAGATAGAAGGGTCCAATTTTGTAAGAGATGGGATACTAAAGACATTGAGTGTGGGAATCCAGAGGGGTTCCAATAACAGGTGGCACAATAGGTTTAAATCTTAGCTGGTATGGACTCATCTTAGCTGGGATGGTCTCTTATGACTAATACCATATTAAGGTAGTGAGTTTCAGCCTAACTCAATCCTATAAAATTAGTTTAATAAGATAAGGTGTCTCCATTTATATAGTGTAATTTAATTTAATTTATAGTCAATGTAGGATTTCCAACATAACCTAAACACAGGTATCAAAAGGTTTATAACAATCCATATACATTTGTTGAACTAACATAGATTCTCATGGTAAGCAGAAGTGGTTTAGCACATATCCCAGGCGAATCATAAATTATGACTAAATTAAAGTGCATTTGCATCAAGTGAATGTTAGAGAATGAGAAGCTCACATAATCCATAAGCTTTATGATATACTCTTTAATATATTTTTGCTGTGTACTTGATATCAGCACTTTCTAGTAGGAATTTGCTTCCATATTAATTTTTATTTTGAAACTGGCTACTATTTGTGATAATCACTTCTATACTGCAGGTATCACGGGGTGTGGCTCTTAACTCGTTGTGGTTCACTACTGAAAAGTGGGTATAATCTTCATGATTGGGGTTTGTGCATATCTATCCTCATTCTCATGGGTGTAATTTCTCGGACAGTAGCATTTTTCTGTATGCTCACCTTTCTAAAGAAATAAGGCCAATCTGGGAGCTGTCACAGTCACAAACTAGAACTTGGGGTGTGCAAATATGAAGGAAAACATATACTTCTGGATCGAGTACTTTAGTATCCTCATAGTTCAAGAATGTGTGATTAATGCGTTGGGGCTGATGTTGGTTATTTACTCATCATGCAAAATCCAGTTGATAAGATAATGCTTTGTAGCACATTTAAATTCATGTCAGCTGCCTGCTTTTTTTTTTTATATGTTATTCTTTTCTAGTTATGATCAGTTTTTGTTTCCTACCCCTAGTTTATTTTAAAATGGTCCCTTTGTCCTTTCTATTTTATAACATGGTTTTCTAATTCTATGTTTTGTTCCCATCATCTAATTTTGAATTGAGTATTCTAGAATGGTAATTTGAGTTTTGGTAAAAGAATCTTCGTGAATGGTACCATACAAATTAGAACCAGACAAATTTTGCACTAGATAACACGGAGAAAACATCATACGATTTTTTTTTTCCACCTTAACACATTCAATTTAAAATTATCTTGTGCACCATATTTACACATAACACACTTTTGATTTTAGTTTAGAATTCGATTCGAACCGAATTCAGACTTTTTTTGTAATAATAGTCAAAATACCAATAAAAGTTCTGTTTTCGAAAAACCAAATTCTGATCTAGTTTTTTATTTTTATTTTTATTTTTATTTTTATTTTGAATTTTATTAAACTAAAAGGATAAGGATAAAGAAATTATAATTTTTTTAATGAGAAAATATGTATTTATATGTTTCAAATTTGTTAAATTATACTTTTGAAATTGATAGAGGATTAAAAGTATATGTAAGAAAGAATAAAGGCGGGAAGTTGTGAGTTCATATAGGAGTTAGTTAGAGAATAGGGAAGTATAAATAAAGAGTTAGTTGTAAAAGACGAGATTCATTCTGTATTTTCTTTGTTTGTTGAGTTAATGGAACTTAGTCCAGTGGAGGGAGATTTGGGTTTCCTTGGATGTTTCGATACTCTTGTATTCTTGAATTCATTGAATAAGACGAGGCTATTCATTGTGTGTGGGTCTGTTTTGTGTGAGTCATACGCGTTATTGACTTCTTGAATAAATAAGTCTAACAATATTGGTCCGACTTACTGGATTGCAATCAGAGAAGAGGCGAGATGGAGAGCAAGGTGAGTGCCTTGGAGGAAAGGTTCGACGCCATGGAAGCGACGATGGAGGAATTCCAAGCCGAGATGCGAGGGATGGCTCGAGACGTGGGTCGCGTCCTTCGGAGACAAGGAGGGAACCAAGGGAGGAGTTCTGAGGCAGTCGCAGTTCCGTTAATGGAGGTCGGGAGGGAGATGAGGAGGAATCGAAAGATGAACTAGAGGAAGAGCACGATGACGTTCAGAGAAGCTGGATGAAAAGAGTGGAATTACCTACTTTTGAAGGCACCGATGCCATGGGCTGGATCGCGAGGACGAAAAAGTTTTTCGAATTGTAGAACATGACGAAGAAGGAAAAAATGAAATTAGTTTACATATGCATGGAAGGGGGAGCAAATTACTGGTTCTGCTTCTGGCGGAAGAAAGTCAAGAACCCAACCTGGGCGATGTTGACAGAAGCGATGGTTAGAAGGTTTGGAGGGAGGCATCGGGGAACAATCTTTGAAAAGTTGGCGGTGGTGCGACATAAAGGAACGATGGAGGAATATGTGCAGGAATTCGAAGTTTTAGTGGCTCAAGCAACGGGAGTGATGGAAGAACAACTTCTTGGGTATTTTTTTGCGGGACTACACGAGGGGCTCAGGGATCTCATCAGCTCTCATGATCTGCACGATTTGTTAACCGCGATGGAGAGAGCTCAAGACGTGGAGCAAACGGGGCTTGTACCGAGGATGATTGGAGGTGGCGTAGCGTCTAAGAGAGGATCGCGTGGGGCGATATACGACCAGTACGGGCACTATGACGAGGAAAAAAACCTATCGCGAGCCATCAGATGGACATGGGAGTATAGGCGGAGGTCTCAGACAGAAGAAAGAGGTGACGTCGAGGACCGCCAGTTCCAAAGTCGAAAGCACAATAGGGGCGGAAGGCAGAATCGCGGAGTGCGAACGTTGCCATATCAGGAATACCTCAAGAGAAGAGAAGAGGGACGTTGTTTCCACTATGACGGGCCTTACAGCCCAGGGCACCGATGCACTGAGAGAAACTTAAAAGTGATGATCATGGGAGAGGACGATGAAGAAGAGGAAGTTGAGGCGAAAGAGGAGGTTCAACAAAGGTGCATGGAATTGCAAGTATAATCAGCTAGGGGAATAACTCAATCCAACACCATGAAGCTGCCAGGTTGGATTCGGGACCGGCAGATAATCGTGCTGATAGATAGTGGGGCGAGCCACAACTTCATCTCGACAAGTCTACTTGAGGAGTTGGGTTTAGAAAGGGAAGAAACCTTGTCGTATCGAGTATGCTTGGGGGACGACCAAAGAAAGGAAACGCGGGGTTGTTGCATGGAGATGTCCTTAACATTAGAGGGAGTTGAGATTAAAGAGAATTTTTATCTCTTTAAATTGGGGGGAGTTGATTTTATGCTGGGAATCGAGTGGCTGGCGAAGTTGGGAGAGACTAGGGTGGATTGGAAGAAGATGACCATGAAATATGGGCCAACAGAAGCGGAGGTAGTGATAACGGGTGATAGCAGATCGATAAGGAAAATGATTTCTCGGGAGGCGTTGCAAAAGGAGACAGGGATTGAGACACTGGGGGTGGTATGGGATCTGAATCAATCAGAAACAACAGAGGAAAATCCAGGGGCAGAAGGATTAACCCCCATGCAGGAGGTGATTTTAGAGAAGATATTAGGGGAGTTCGAGAAGGTGTTTGAGGAACCTCAAGGACTTCCTCCTGTCAGAAGAGTCAACCATAAGATAACCATTAAAGAGGGCACGAAACCAGTGAACGTGAGGCCCTATAGGTATCCCCACTTAATGAAGATTGAAATAAAGAAGCAGGTCCAGGAGATGTTGGGCTTGGGCATTATTAGGCCCAACCCATTTTCCAGTCCAGTAATTTTGGTTAAAACAAATGTGCGGATTACAGAGTTTTAAACAGAGTCATCGTCCCAATAAATATCTTATTCCCGTGATTGAAGAGCTTCTGGATGAATTACACGGGGCCGCTTACTTTTCTAAGGTGGATCTCAAATCGGGATACCACCAGATAAGGATGAAGGAGGATGACGTTCCCAAAACAGCTTTTAGGACTCACTTAGGACATTACGAGTTCTTAGTAATGCCCTTTGGCCTCACGGATGCTCCGACCACTTTTCAGGATATGATGAATTCATTGTTGAAACCATTCTTGAGGGAGAGCGTGTTGGTCTTCTTTGATGATATCCTAGTGTGCAACAAGTCGTGGGGGATCATGAGAAACACCTTAGCCAGGTGCTGAAGGTGCTGGACCAACATAAGCTATTCGCTAACAAAAAAAAGTGCGAGTTTGGCAGGAGGCAGATTAGGTATTTAGGCCACATGATATCAGAACAGGGGGTGGAGATGGATGGAGATAATGTGCCTACAGTGACAGAGTGGCTGACACCCAGTTGCATTAAAGAGTTAAGGGGGTTTTTGGGGCTCATCGGTTATTACAAGAGATTCGTAAGGAATTATGGAAATATCGCTAGACCCCTCACAGATATTTTGAAGAAGGGGAAGTTTGAGTGGATAGCAGTAGGAGAGGAGGCCATGCAAGCCCTTAAGAAGGCAGTAACCACTCCCCCTATTCTGGCTTTGCCAGATTTTTCCAACCTTTTCAAGTTGAATGTGATGCTTTGGGGAAGGGGATATGGGTTGTGTTGTCGCAAAATAGGAGACTTATTGCTTATTACAACAAGGCGTTGTCGGAGGGTTCGATGGGTAAGTCTGTTTATGAGAAGGAACTGATGACACTGGTGTTAGCCATTCAACATTGGCATCCCTATCTGCTAGGAGAAAGATTTAGTGTTTATACAGACCAGAAGAGCTTGAAGTACTTGATAGAGCAGTGTATAACAACCCAAAATCAGCAAAATTGGCTGGCAAAACTCATGGGATATGAGTTTGATATATATTACAGGACCAGAGCTTCAAATAGAGTGGTTGATAGGTTGTCCAAGAAAGGAGAAGAAGGGGGAGAAGGGGACAAAACTCTATTGATGATAACCAGGCCATATTGGCTTAATTTCCAAGAGATAATAGAGGAAGTGGAGAAAGATATTGGGTTAAAGAAGATAATGGAGGTAGTAAAGAAGGACCGTGACTCACAGCCTGCCTATACGTTGGAGAATGAGAGGCTACATTATAAGGGAAGGTTGGTGTTGTCAGCGAAATCAGAGTGGATACCAAGGATTCTAGCAGAATTTCATGATACTACTATAGGAGGTCACTTGAGGGTGTACAAGACTTATAGAAGACTTGCCCAGGCCTTTCACTGGATAGGTATGAAGAAGAGGGTGACAGACTACGTAGCTTCATGTTTGGTTTATCAACAACATAAATACATGACATCATCTCCACAGGGATTTCTGCAGCCATTGCCTATTCACAGGGCAATATGGGAAGAAGTGAGTATGGACTTTGTGGTCAAGTTGCCAAGATCTCAAGGGTTTCTCGATAATGGTGGTGGTGGATAGGCTGAGTAAGTTTGGGCATTTTATACCCATAAAACATCCTCATACAATAAGGGTAATTACAGAAATTTTCGTAAAGGAGGTGGTGCTTTTGCATGGGATTCCAGTATCAATTGTTAGTGACAGGAGGGATCCCATCTTCATTAGTACATTTTGGAAGGAAATTTTTAGAATACAGGGTACCCAATTAAAAATTGGAGGTGTTGAATAGGATACTTGAGACCTATCTAAGGTGTTTTTGTTAAAAACAGCCCAAGGCTTGGAGTTCGGTGTTACCATGGGCTGAATACTGGTATAATACCAGTTATCAAGGGGCTTTGAAGTGCACTCCATTTGAAACAGTTTATGGAAGACCACCACCTGCATTAACTAGGTTTATTCCAAGAGAAACATTGGTGGAAGTAGTGGCACAAGATTTGCAGATGCGGGGCAAAGTTATCAAACAGCTGCAACATCATTTAACTAAAGCACAGGAGAGGATGGTGTAGTATGCAAACAGGAAGAGGAGGGAGTCTAGTATAAAAGAAGGGGATTGGTCTTTCTTAAGATTAGACCCCGTAGGCAAGTATCAATGCCTACTAGGCTGCATCCTAAACTGTCTGCTCATTACTACGAACCTTTCTTGGTTGAGAAACAAGTGGGTCCAGTGGCTTTCAAATTGCAGCTGCCTGCAACTACGAGAATACACCCAATATTTTATGTGTCACAATTGAAAAAAGTTGTGGGGAAGAAAACAGTGGAAAGAGAGTTGCCATTGGAATTGCAGGTGGAAGGTCCATTGTACATACCTTTAAGAGTGTTACAAGGGAGAGACAGAAACCCACAAGGAGAGGAGATATCTCATATTCTGGTTCAGTGGAAGGAGGGAGAAATAGAAAAGACTACTTGGGAGGATGAGGGGTACATCAAGCAACAATTCCAAGATTTCAATCTTGAGGGCAAGTTTGTTGAGGAAGGGGTATTGATAAAGGATTAAAAGTATATGTGAGAAAGAATAAAGGCAGGAAACAATGAGTTCTGTTAGGAGTTAGTTAAAGAAATATGGAAGTATAAATAGAGTTAGTTGTAAAAGGTGGGATTCATTATATATTTTCTTTGTTTGTTGAGTCACTGGAACTTAGTCCAGTGGAGGGAGATTTGAGCTTCCTTGGGTGTTTTCGATACTCTTGTAATCTTGAATTCATTGAATAAGATAAGACTATTCATTGTGTGTGAATCATACACGTTATTGACTTCTTGAATAAAGAAGTTTAACCGAAATAAATTTTTTTTCATTTATTAAAAATAAGAAACGCAAATAAATATTAAGAAGTGATATGTTTATGAATTTGTCTTTATTAATTTTATAATAACTTTTTTTGAATTATTTATAATATGATTTTATGAAATGATATGTTTATAAGATGATATATATATATATATATATTCTAAATATTATTAATCAGAATTATATTCTAAATATAATTGATCTTTTATACTATAGAATGGAATAGAAGAAAAAATAGAACTAGATGAAACAATAACCCTTAGTCTTTCTTTACTTAGAGAATGGTTTAAACCGATCCTTTTCCATTGGATGAAATGCCCTCTGGTTTGTTGCTCTTCATGTGAGAGGTGATGATAGTGTGTCTAAAACAAGAAAGGTTTAAATCAAATTCTAATATCATACAGGGAAACAAATTTGAATTCTATTATGAAAGATGGAGGATTACATGGAAGATATATAGGAATCTAGACCACAATTGTACACTAACAGAAGGTATTCTCCTTTGGAATATAGAGATCTAAAGAAGGAAAATATTTTAAAATAGTGAAAAGAATGGTCTTCTAACTATACCAGTTAGAATTTTAATGCCAGAAAACTGAAATTGATATCCTATAAAATGAAAAGTCAATCACCAACATGCTGAAAATTGAAATCCAGAAGCTTGAGTGAGTGCAAAACTTTACACTGATATCGTTAGAAGCTTGGAATCATCTAAAGATAGTGTGCATAGCTGATTAACCAAAAGCCACCCATGTCAGAGCAAAAGAACTTTGTGTGTGCATAGTTTGGAATAAGTTATAGATTGAAAACTCCATAAAGCTATTGTATATAAAAGGTACCATCACTTGTGGCCTTGAATAATAACATGTAAATACAACAACAAAAAAGCTAAAAAAACTGTCAACTATCAAGGAGTTCACGTGATAAGAAGGTTTATTGAAAGGTGCCATGGGTAACATGCGAAGAGAATAATCATCATTTTTCAGAGGTTCTGATGGTTCTAGGTACAATTTGTGGTCTAGTTTTCATCTGTACAAGCCTCTAACTTCAGAACCACCAACCTAAAGTGAGTGAGAACAAGGTGGGGAGAAGGTTGTGTTGGTAAATTTTGGAAAAGTGGGATTGATACATGAAGATGTTGCATACAGCTTCATCAGCAACAAATTCCTATCAGCCACTGCCTTCAACTTGCAGAAGCCATCATTGAGGTCTGCTGATGGAGGGTAGCTAAAGCATTATCCTATCAAAATATTTAAAGGTAACGGGCAAGAAAAAATAATAGCAACTATTCGTTCAAGCCTTCTGAAATGCACGGGAAGAAACCCCATGCAGAAGCCTGACAAACCCCAAGAAACTAAGCTTCCCATCTGAGTGCCTTATCCAATCTTGAAGTACTACATGAACAGGTACTGATGGACTAAGCCCAAGTTCCTGAAATATGTCAAACATGAAGAGTTTAATATACATGTGATGAAGGATTATATCAAATGAAACTGATCAAGAATCTCATTTGAGGTATCTGTCATGTTGATGAATGAAGAAGACAATTAAACACATGCAGATACTAAGTTCTAGGGATAAGTTAATCGGGGTCCCAAATTGAAAGACAGTATGAGATACGCTAGCACCTTAGGCATTGCAGCACATTTAATCATTTGAAAAACATATTGGTATTAGACACCATGGGATGTGAAATTACCGAAGCAAGTTCCTCAATCATAATTGGTCTATTTCCTTCCTTTTCAAAAAGCTCATAGGCTCGCCTTGCATGCTGCTCCCAGCTCTCCATTCCCTCTAGTTGGTGCATACTTATAGCGGCAGCACAAAATTCCTCAAAATCTAGTTTCCTATATTGGATAGAACTAACCTGCAACAAGGATAACAAATTAACTTTTCAGTGAACCTGATTTGTTAAAACAGTCAATGAGGAATGACTGACAATCCCTCAAACTTACCATATTCACGTAATCTAAGACCCTTGAATCCTTTGAAGCATCTGTGGAGCTCCTCAGAACAGCCTGCCAAAATAACCGTTAATGCCTCAAAGAAATTTGGAAAAGGGACAATAGATTTTAACTTCAGATATGTGCTGACCGTCTTAAAGTTCTGCATAGAGATTAATCCACTCTTGTTTGGTCCTAACAGAGTAAATTGATCTTTGAGATAAGCTAGCTGAGCTACTGTTAATGTCTTTGCAAGAGCCTGACAAATTGACAATTTTAAACAATAAATATCACGTTTCTAAGACAAATTGCAAACTGTTACTTCAAGAAACATGAAATAATTTATTAAACATGCAAATGATGACAGGCAAGTTCTCAAAAACTCTCTCTCAACCGGTCATTTAATTAACTTATCATTAATTGATCGGTGCAGAGATTTCTATGATTCCTCAGCCAGTCATTTAATTAACTTACCATTAATTGATCAGTGCAGAGATTTCTATGATTCCTCAGCTAGTCATTTAATTAAGATTTAAACCCTCGGATGGTCCTCATATTTACGTGGGAATCTCAGTTGGGTCCTCATATTTGAAACTGTCTCAATTGGATTATAATATTTGTAAAATTGAACAAATTTTACCCTATCCGTTAG